TCGTCATCTTTCGATCCGGACTGTGTCAGAAAGAGTGACTGCCATTTGGCTGCGACATTACCCTGCCAAATCAGACTTATCTTTCATCATTTTCAAAGAAATTGTACAAAATCTTCAAATTTGTGAAGTTAGCGAGTTTCACTTCATACTTTGTTACCAGACATGCCCAAATCATCAGTTGCTGCCGTGATATTCATGTCGACATACAGGCCAGGCGTATAAATAAATAAAAGCGTGTTAATATAATACTGATATAATAAAATAAAAAAACATTAAAAATGTAATCTGCATACGACGTTGGCAAAGAACTTACAGAGAAACTATCGCTGTTAAGCAATCTAAACGAACAAATTGCGGACTTGTTGAGCGGAATAGCGATGTGCGGATTTTACAACAATGAGGTAGTCTGAACATTGTATCACGAGGTACGATTTGGATTATGTTTGCAGAGGTGCTAAAATTTACTTACATAATATGTCTTAGGTCACCTCTCCTTTTGACCTAAAATAACACTTCACATCGTCATTGAATGCAATATTACGTATGGAAACATTTTATTAATCATGCAAATATTATTCATTACTTGAAGTCGTTTGGCGCGTAAGCCGATAACAAAATGGCAGCATCTCCTATGCAACATCATCATCAGTTCTTAAAGGATAAAGTTCAGCGCCATTCAAATCCTCTGATAAAAGAATAAATGGATCAAGTTAGTCAAACACGCACATGCAATTAGTCCATAGATATTCTTTCCCTGCGGTGGGTACCTCCGATTACTGAAATTGTTTTAAAAGAGTTGTAGGTAGCTTGTGCTTGTTGTAGGGGAATTCTGTTTAATATATTTGGCAACGCTGCCTGATAATCGGGCGATACTTTAGGAAGTACAACATTGAGCACCCTGTATCGGCTTAGATATAAAATAGCTCATATCACATTTCATCGTATCCACAACACTTGTTCGATGCTTTTTATTACCCCTGACATCTGCAACACGAGCATATGTTGCAGAAACGTGAACGTAGAGACCATTATACGCGTTCAACACCTCGTAGTTTGCGTTTATTTCTTCGTCGGTTACCTTGAGGTTCTTTTTTTCTTATTGTTTATAGGTAAACGCTGGAATGTAATTGTCTTCGCTTGAGCGATAAAGATTCCGAGATTACGGCAACGCGATCGGGGAATCTCCGGGGGCGGTTCAGCTTTCAACGCAACAAGATTTTCATTCTGGACGAGCAGGTTAACGTTTGGAGCGGGTGAAAATATATACTAAGTGACATAAAAATCCGAACACCCAGTTTAAATGGTTTTATTTTAATAAAAGTTGGTGAATGCATTTATCTTACTGTAAATAACAAGTGAAAAATTTTTCAGCATTATCAGTTGGACATTCCGGTTTTTATACTGCTTTTTTTTAATTCACTAACGCTCTAAAAATGAATATTTTAGCCGCAGTAAAGAATCAACGTTGGCGGTATTGGTTCTTGAAATCCTTTACGATCGGTTACGTTGCCAAGAGTACGGAGACCTGTACGATTTCGTCAACTTAGTGAGTTTGATAGGGACTGTATAGTGGGACTTCGGGAAGCTGGACTTTCTTTTCGGGCAATTGCAGTTAGAGTGCAAAGAAGTGTAGACACTGGGGTTAGGTGTTGTCAGGCATGGCTTCGAGAAGGCCGTACGCAAAGAGCAAGGGGCACTGGACGCCGCCGTAGAACAACAGACCGTGAAGATCGCCGCCTAAGATTATTGGCCTTAAGGGACCGTTTCTCCACTACCAGGTCCATTGCAAATGAATGGTTTGCAGAACACGGAAGACCTATTGGCATGCGAAGTGTTTACCGACTAATGAGAAGTTTTGGCTTGTTTTCATACCGGCCACACTGGGTCCTCCCTTTAACTCGAGAACACCGACGTAATCGCCTTGAGTGGTGCAGACAACGGTCACTCTGGGATCAGGAATGGAACAGTATTGTCTTTAGTGACGAGTCTCGATTTTGTTTAGGCATGCATGATGGTCGTGCCAGGGTTAGAAAGCGACGTGGTGAAACGAGGAATCCACAGTTTTTTGTTGAAAGACATGTTCATCACACTGTTGGAGTTATGGTTTGGGGTGCTATAGCTTATGGTTCCAGGTCACCTTTAATCTTCATCAGAGGTAACATGAACGCGCAGCGTTATATCCACGAAGTTCTAGAGCCCCATCTTTTACCCTATCTTGACACCCTGGCAGATCCAACTTTCCAACAAGACAATGCCCGACCACATGTTGCAAGAGTCACAATAGACTTCTTTCAACATAATTATGTCACATTGTTACCATGGCCACCAAGATCTCCCGACTTATCCCCAATTGAGCAGGTGTGGGATATGATGGGTAGGAGATTGCTCAATTTGCAACGTGCTCCTCAGACTCTAGAAGCACTTCGAGAGGAGTTGGTGGTTGCCTGGAAAGAGATACCACAGGAGGACATTGACCACCTGATTAGAAGCATGCCTAGGCGCGTTGGAGAATGCGTAGCACATCAGGGTGCATCCACACATTATTAAAGGTCAAAGGACTTAATAAGTAAATGCTTTTCTTCACTACGCCCATGGTTTGTTTATCATTTTTTTGTTGAAAATAGCTATTGGAGCGTTTTTTTTTTGTGGCATAAATGTCATTTCTTGGAGAAAAACAAGGAAATATCTCGTACTTATTTTAAATAGCGACATGATAACAGTAATGTGCATCGAAAATATGTTCTAGAACTTGTAGCTAAATTTCGGGAAACTGGGTCAGTCGCCAATAAAAAACGCAACATTGAAAATCCCATAAGGAACGAAGCAATAGAAGTGGGGGTTTAAAATTGAAATAAAAATGCCATTATTTGTCAAATATCGACAAGTGAGGCGTTCTTGAGTTAAAAATGTCATTCTCGATCGAAATAAGTAAAAATGGCGTCCCATTCAAAAATCGAAAGTTGGAGACGTTTCCGGTCAAACCGAAAGCACCACAGAGCAAGTGAATATGTCAAAAAATGTAAAATAAATTTGGAAATATCTGAATTATTTTGAAACATCGTGGAAAATGAGGACGTATCCGGTATCTCGGTAAATAGGGGCTCATTTCGGCAGAGATACTTAAAAACCGATAGGTTTGGCAACACTGTGGCAGTTCTTTAACAACCATTGGCGACAACTGGGGCCGCCATCACTTAAATTATCGATGCCGGACAAAAGCATCAAACACCCCGGACATTTTGGTGAAATCGAATTTTTTGTAATAAAAATATACTAAGTGACATATAAATCCGAACACCCGGTTTAAATGGTTTTATTTTAATAAAATTTTGTATAAGTACTTAATGAAGCATAATAAGTAAATGATAAAAATTTCAAAATGATTGCACTGCTTTAAAGCCCTTTGACCTTTAATAATGTGTGGATGCACCCTGATGTGCTACGCATTCTCCAACGCGCCTAGGCATGCTTCTGATCAGGTGGTCAATGTCCTCCTGTGGTATCTCATTCCAGGCAACCACCAACTCCTCTCGAAGTGCTTCTAGAGTCTGAGGAGGACATTGCAAATTGAGCAATCTCCTACCCATCATATCCCACACGTGCTCAATTGGGGATAAGTCGGGAGATCTTGGTGGCCATGGTAACAATGTGACATCATTATGTTGAAAGAAGTCTATTGTGACTCTTGCAACATGTGGTCGGGCATTATCTTGTTGGAAAGTTGGATCTGCCAGGGTGTCAAGATAGGGTAAAAGATGGGGTTCTAGAACTTCGTGGATATAACGCTGCGCGTTCATGTTACCTCTGATGAAGATTAAAGGTGACCTGGAACCATAAGCTATAGCACCCCAAACCATAACTCCAACAGTGGATTCCTCCTTTCACCACGTCGCCTTCTAACCCTGGCACGACCATCATGCATGCCTAAACAAAATCGAGACTCGTCACTAAAGACAATACTGTTCCATTCCTGATCCCAGAGTGACCATTGTCTGCACCACTCAAGGCGATTACGTCGGTGTTCTCGAGTTAAAGGGAGGACCCAGTGTGGCCGGTATGAAAACAAGCCAAAACTTCTCATTCGTCGGTAAACACTTCGCATGCCAATAGGTCTTCCGTGTTCTGCAAACCATTCATTTGCAATGGACCTGGTAGTGGAGAAACGGTCCCTTAAGGCCAATAATCTTAGGCGGCGATCTTCACGGTCTGTTGTTCTACGGCGGCGTCCAGTGCCCCTTGCTCTTTGCGTACGGCCTTCTCGAAGCCATGCCTGACAACACCTAACCACAGTGTCTACACTTCTTTGCACTCTAACTGCAATTGCCCGAAAAGAAAGTCCAGCTTCCCGAAGTCCCACTATACGGCCCCTATCAATCTCACTAAGTTGACGAAATCGTACAGGTCTCCGTACTCTAGGCGTCGTAACCGATCGTAAAGGATGTCAAGAACCAAAATCCGCCAACGTTGATTCTTTACTGCGGCTGAAATATTCATATTTAGAGCGTTAGTGAGTTAAAAAAAAAGCAGTATAAAAACCGGAATGTCCAACTGATAAGGCTTTTCACTTGTTATTTACAGTAAGATAAATACATTCACCAACTTTTATTAAAATAAAATCATTTAAACTGGGTGTTCGGATTTATATGTATAATAAGTTGTTGTCATTTTCGATTTGTTTACTCACTCTGTATTCTATATCAGCGGCAAGCAATCAACGTACCGGATTACGCCCCGGCAATGTTGAAAATAATAAAAGTCGATTGCCTTGTCGATTGTAACTTTTATCGAACGGTAGGCAGCTCGCTGATCGAAAAAATGCAACCACGCCTTTCGTAATATGCTGTTGCTGTTCGATATTATTCTCGACATGTTCGATACGAGCTGCCGGAGACTAGTTTGTATGTGGTGCAGGTATACATTATTACAGGTGACTGCTGCTTGTATTGGCAAATCGACGGTGGAAATATTTTCGTTTTGCAACAAAAATCGTTTGCGGAATTTCATTTCGTTTGCCTATTCGTGGATGTTGCGTCATTTTTGTGACAAGGATAAGCTCTTAGGAGCTCGGATGTCGAAGCACTTATGTCTAGGGTTCCTCCGAAGCTTTGGCCTAAGTTTCGACTCACGAAAGATTGGCTACTTGACTCATATCTATTTTCACAAGATACGAGCCCCGTCCCACTTCAGTTGGCCCACTTCAAGATTTGCACCAAAAAATGCCTTTATAAATTAAACATGACGAAACTATTTACTTCTGAAACAATTTATTTTCTCAAAAACATGTTAGATACACTCTAGCCGTAAAAAATACATATTTGAAGTCACTTAGACCTATAACTAATAGAACATCTGAACAAATAAACAATGTGCGAATAAATGTGCGAAGTTAACAAAGCACCAATTGAAAGATTACCATTGGGTAACATCACCTTTATTTTTTATTGCGGCTGAAATTCTTTGGGGCATAGTGTTAACCAAGTGTTGGCAAAAATTTGGTGTAAAACAATCCCATATTTCTTGAAGCTTTTGCCTCAGTTCGGAGATTGTACGAGCAGGATGTTGTCGTAGAACCTTTTTCATCTCGTGCCACAAAGTTTCAATAGGTGACAGATCTGGACTGCTAGAAACCCATTTCAAAAGTGGTAGTCCATTTCTCTATGTGGGCATTTGTGTGTGTTTTGTGTGACTACAGATATGTAGTGGTATGTACATATATATTATACCTTTTTTGTCATTTATATACGTATACGTTTTTAAATGTCCCAGTTTCTTTAATATATTAATTTTTCATTAAAACCACTATTTTTGTGGTATTCCTTTTATGCCCGCTTGAACGGACCATTCCAGTCTGTCTCACTTGTGTCTGTTTAAAGAAGATTTCAATGTTGCTCCAAATTTCTGGTTATTTAGCTAAAAGCTCTTTACCAACCCTTAGGGTTGAAAATGGAGTAGAAAACAGTTACATTCGGAAATAGACAATTATGAGACAAACAACTGAGAAAACTTTATCGATATTCCATTTTTCTATGCAATCAAAAGATACATTAGCATCCATACCGCTTTAGGGTTTTTGAAATCAGTTATTTAAAGAGGCGGATATCCATATGCAGTTTTTATAACTTTTACATGTTTATTTAAGAGATAGGATCATTTGGCAAGTTAGATATAGGTGAGGATTCACGATTTTTCATCCCAATCAGCGAAACGTTCGGAATTCTCGCACAGTTGTGGGACTGAATATTATTAATCCTATTTGTAACAAATCATGGCCAATTAAAGTACCTTGAAATAATTTACCAAAAAATTATACTTAATACCTCGAGTCATTTCATAGCAATTGGATGGAAACAATAATGATCGACCAAAGCGACTTGGACACTGACATCCATTTTTATGTGTCAATACCAGTCCACTTGTTTGCTAATAATGATCTACATTTGAACTAGATTCTAGGAAGGTTGTCTAGTTTGATAATTATTTTAATAAATGCTTCCGGTTATATAACCACAGTAAAAAATTTCATTATCAAATCTAGGCACTAATATAACTTGTTATTATACTAAGTGACATATAAATCCGAACACCCAGTTTAAATGGTTTTATTTTAACAAAATTTTGTATAAGTACTTAATGAAGCATAATAAGTAAATGATAAAAATTTCAAAATGATCGCACTGCTTTAAAGCCCTTTGACCTTTAATAATGTGTGGATGCACCCTGATGTGCTACGCATTCTCCAACGCGCCTAGGCATGCTTCTGATCAGGTGGTCAATGTCCTCCTGTGGTATCTCATTCCAGGCAACCACCAACTCCTCTCGAAGTGCTTCTAGAGTCTGAGGAAGACGTTGCAAATTGAGCAATTTCCTACCCATCATAACCCACACGTGCTCAATTGGGGATAATTCGGGAGATCTTGTTGGCCATGGTAACAATGTGACATCATTATGTTGAAAGAAGTCTATTGTGACTCTTGCAACATGTGGTCGGGCATTATCTTGTTGGAAAGTTGGATCTGCCAGGGTGTCAAGATAGGGTAAAAGATGGGGTTCTAGAACCCCGTGGGTTGCGCGTTCATGTTACCTCTGATGAAGATTAAAGGTGACCTGGAACCATAAGCTATAGCACCCCAAACCATAACTCCAACAGGGTGATGAACATGTCTTTCAACAAAAAACTGTGGATTCCTCCTTTCACCACGTCGCCTTCTAACCCTGGCACGACCATCGTGCATGCCTAAAAAAAATCTAGACTCGTCACTAAAGACAATACTGTTCCATTCCTGATCCCAGAGTGACCGTTGTCTGCACCACTCAAGGCGATTACGTCGGTGTTCTCGAGTTAAAGGGAGGACCCAGTGTGGCCGGTATGAAAACAAGCCAAAACTTCTCATTCGTCGGTAAACACTTTGCATGTCAATAGGTCTTCCGTGTTCTGCAAACCATTCATTTGCAATGGACCTGGTATTGGAGAAACGGTCCCTTAAGGCCAATAATCTTAGGCGGCGATCTTCACGGTGTGTTGTTCTAAGGCGGCGTCCAGTGCCCCTTGCTCTTTGCGTACGACCTTCTCGAAGCCATGCCTGACAACACCTAACCACAGTGTCTACACTTCTAAGCACTCTAACTGCAATTGCCCGGAAAGAAAGTCCAGCTTCCCGAAGTCGCACTATACGGCCCCTATCAAACTCACTAAGTTGACGAAATCGTACAGGTCTCCGTACTCTAGGCATCGTAACCGATCGTAAAGGATGTCAAGAACCAAAATCCGCCAACGTTGATTCTTTACTGCGGCTGAAATATTCATTTTTAGAGCGTTAGTGAATTAAAAAAAAGCGGTATAAAAACCGGAATGTCCAACTGATAAGGCTGAACATTTTTTCACTTGTTATTTACAGTAAGATAAATACATTCACCAACTTTTATTAAAATAAAACCATTTAAACTGGGTGTTCGGATTTATATGTCACTTAGTATACCTCTTCTCTCATTTCATTTCAGATCCTAATTTAATCGAACATCGGTAGGCCTTGGTTAAAAGTTTTTGTACACTAGTGAGTCGCCCGCGAAAAACTAAATGTTGCAATATAGTCTATCTAGATTAGATATGTGTAAAATAAATAGCAGTCACTACATGGTCAATAAGTATCACATTCCATGATAAACACAGTAAATACTATACGCCTAAAAGAGAATGATTTATACTATCAAAAGCTTCTGTCATCTAGGAGAACTAGAAATGTCGTTTGTTCATTATACCAAGCTTTGATAATATTGTCGGTTAGACCGGATAAAGCTCCGGAGGTGTTTAGCCTTTTCAAAAAACCACTTCGCTCCGCTGGCAATAATTCAAAAGTAGCAACAAGCAATGTCTATCGTGTTATTGAGAAACTAACTAAAATAACTAAAAATACAAATGTATAAACAGTAGAAATAGCTAAACATTTCTAAGATTATAATATCCATTCTAGTATGTATTACGCATTTGATACGTGAAAGTGAAAAAAAGAAATAAATCTGAATTGATCATTTATTCTACTTATCCACCGTATGCGAGTTGTCTCCATTGCTATACTGTAAAAAGGCATTGTGCTGAGTATTTTAATGGTCAGTTTATGGGCGTATCGTATCATTTTTATGTTACTTCTTATGTCTGACGTGCTTTTACTGTAGTTGAAAAGTGAATTTAGTGAAAACGTTAGATGTGACAAGTCTTTCACGATAGGTTGATGTACATATAAAAAAATATTGGAAGTAGTAATTTGGGTTGCAAATGTTTTAGTATTCGTGACAGCTATACAATCAGCGCTAAGAAATTGCTATTGGGAAACATTGCATAAGTTAGCGAAAACTTTATAAAAGTGCTGTTTTAGATCGATTGAAGAGAAATAACATTTGCATTTTTACTATTTCTTTATAAAATTTCGAAAATGAGACAATATGTTTTTTGAATGTTATTTGACATGTACATCACAAAAAACCATGTCACTCTTTCAATTTCGAAGTACATTGGTGAAAAGGTTTTTGGGTACCTACATGCGTAAGTATTGTATTTTGGCAATTTTTGTCACTTTTTTTAATCATCCTGTATTTCTATACACGTACAGACAAGCAGTGCTACTTGATGAAGAGCTACATTCCAGTCCACTAAAATATCCGTCTCTAGCAGAGCAAATATTTTTCGCTTTTTTCATTCCATTGTATTTTTAAACAAGGTTACAACTTTCAAATCCATAATCGCGGCGGCTGTGCCCGCATATTTTCTATACGATTTAAACATTCGACGGTGTGCGCAATGAACTAGACATTTTCCTACATACTAAGAGCCTAAGAGACGAGATCCTAGAGGATATTTTAGAAGAAAGACCTCCCATGGACGGGTCAATACCTTAATTAGAATATACAACAAACTTGCAGCTGATCTCAGGAATATCAGTGGTGTGTCTAGTTTTAAACGTCAACTGCGAAAGGTATTACATAGTTAAAAATGTACTAAGTGACATATAAATCCCAACACCCAGTTTAAATGGTTTTATTTTAATAAAATTTTGTATAAGTACTTAATGAAGCATAATAAGTAAATGATAAAAATTTCAAAATGATTGCACTGCTTTAAAGCCCTTTGACCTTAAATAATGTGTGGATCCACCCTGATGTGCTACGCATTCTCCAAAGCGCCTAGGCATGCTTCTGATCAGGTGGTCAATGTCCTCCTGTGGTATCTCATTCCAGGCAACCACCAACTCCTCTCGAAGTGCTTCTAGAGTCTGAGGAGGACGTTGCAAATTGAGCAATCTCCTACCCATCATATCCCATACGTGCTCAATTGGAGATAATTCGGGAGATCTTGGTGGCCATGGTAACAATGTGACATCATTATGTTGAAATAAGTCTATTGTGACTCTTGCAACATGTGGTCGGGCATTATCTTGTTGGAAAGTTGGATCTGAAAGGGTGTCAAAATAGGGTAAAAGATCGGGTTCTAGAACTTCGTGGATATAACGCTGCGCGTTCATGTTACCTCTGATGAAGATTAAAGGTGACCTGGAACCATAAGCTGTAGCACCCCAAACCATAACTCCAACAGTGTGATGAACATGTCTTTCAACAAAAAACTGTGGATTCCTCCTTTCACCACGTCGCCTTCTAACCCTGGCACGACCATCGTGCATGCCTAAACAAAATCGAGACTCGTCACTAAAGACAATACTGTTCCATTCCTGATCCCAGAGTGACCGTTGTCTGCACCACTCAAGACGATTACGTCGGTGTTCTCGAGTTAAAGGGAGGACCCAGTGTGGCCGGTATGACAACAAGCCAAAACTTCTCATTCGTCGGTAAACACTTCGCATGCCAATAGGTCTTCAGTGTTCTGCAAAACATTCATTTGCAATGGACCTGGTAGTGGAGAAACGGTCCCTTAAGGCCAATAATCTTAGGCGGCGATCTTCATGGTCTGTTGTTCTACGGCGGCGTCCAGTGCCCCTTGCTCTTTGCGTACGGCCTTCTCGAAGCCATGCCTGACAACACCTAATCACAGTGTCTACACTTCTTTGCACTCTAACTGCAATTGCCCGAAAAGAAAGTCCAGCTTCCCGAAGTCCCACTATACGGCCACTATTAATCTCACTAAGTTGACGAAATCGTACAGGTCTCCGTACTCTAGACATCGTAACCGATCGTAAAGG